ACTCGGCGGGAGGGCTGAGTTAATGTTTGACCCCGGGTGAAGGAATGCAGGCCTTCCAGCCACCTCACGGCTGTCAGCCGGCCAAGTCCCCTTCCAGGCAAGGTAATCTTTTTTTTTTTTTTATAAACACAAAACATTTCCCTAACATGCCAATAAGAAAACGCTTTCTGGAATGTAAATCCAATCTCTCCGCAAGGCGGACCCACCCCCTTCTGGCGCCTCTAATGTTTTAAACGACCTTTTAGAAATAAAACCCAGAGCCATTCCCACGCATAGCTTCTACTCAGAGCTTCAAAAACCTGCCAAATGGAACCTGTGGAGACAGAACTGTGCCGACCGGTGGTTGCCAGGGGCGAGGGGTGGGAGGCTAATGGGTGTGGGGTCTCTGGAGTGAGAAAGCCCCACAGCTCTGGAATATATGAAAAACCAATGAACTGTATGGCTTTTTCTTGTAATCCTCACCCCAGGATATTCCTTCCATTGCTTGAGAGAGGGGGGAAGGGAGAGAAACGTGGATGTGAGAGAGACACACCAACTGGTTGCCTCCCGCACTCGGCCTCAGGGCGGGGAACGAGCCTGCAACCAAGGCTCAAGCCCTTGGCCGGAATAGAACCAGGACCCTTCGTCCACCGGCCGGCGCTCCAACCACTGAGCCAAACCGGCCAGGGCGGAACTATGCATCTTAAGTGGTGAATTGGATGGTATGTAAATTATCTCAATAAAGCTGTTTTAGAAAATACGTTAGGCTCTATGGTCCCCTAATTCTCATGATTACAACTTCTAAAGCCAGCCTTTGCTGCCCCCGCCCCCGCCCTGCCCTGACAGAATCAAAGGGCTCCCTGGGTGTGGACCAGGCCCAGGTACCTATTTGCTGGCTTCCAGAGCAAGTCCCTTCCCAGTTTGGTCCTGGGGCCCCTGCAGTGGAGGATCAGGGAGGCAGCTATTGCTCCAGGCGGTTTCTGGAAACAGCTGGAAGCTCCCAAGTTCCACCGCCAAGGTCGATAGCTGCTCCCACCCGCCTGTTACTGAGCCTGGGATTCCAACCAACCATGTGAGTGCCCGGCTCCCTCCTCAGGGCTCCCAGTGCAGTGTGGGGCACGTCACAGGCGACCAGGACAAGGGGAGTGAGGACACAGTGCCCTGGACAGGGCTCAGACCAGCATAAAGGAGGCCTGGGGTCCCACTCTCATAAAGGGGGGCATGCCGTAAAAAATGAGTGGCCATGGGACCAGCACACCTGAGTCCTAGTCCTGGGCGGCTGTTTACCTATGTGAGGTCCTCGGTAAGGCAGGTGACCTTCCTGAGCCTGTTAGCCGCATCCATAGTGGGTTAATTATCTGGGCCCATGGTGACTGTGGACCAGGGGAACTCAGGGCTGTGGATTGTTTAGGTTTAACTTGATCAAATGTGGTAGGAACATCAACCTGATCCTATTAGGGATTTATTGGCTTACTTAAATGAGTCTGGGGTATGGGCTTCAGGCATGGTTAGGTCCAGAAAGTCATGAGGACCCCGTTTCTTTATATATCAGCTCTCCTTTTGCCATGTGTGGCCCCCCCTCTCAAGAAAAGCCTGCCTCATGCCTGCTGCAGCCCGACACTGCTCCCTAAACTCCAAGGCCAGGGGAAAAACAGGCCTCCCCCACCCTCAGCCCCAACACAGGTCCTAAGCCTAGCTCTGGCAAGTAGGACCCTGGTCCTTGCTGCATGGAGTCTGGGATCCCAGTGGCTGTGACCAGGGGACTTTTGATAGTGGGAGTAGGGTCCCTCAGTGGCCTCTAGAGGCAGAGCTTTCCCAAGGCCCTACCAACCCCTGAAGCAGATTCCATCTTGCCAAAGTCGAGGGACAGCAGCTCCTCCTGCACCATCTCTGCCTCATCAGAGGGGAGCAGAGCCGGAGGCCTTCTCTGGGTCACAGGCAGCCCTTGAAACTCTTGGAATTTATTTTCATAGGATTGTTCAAGTTGTGATTCATTTTGCCCCTTTGATCACATTATATTTACCTTTCATCTTATTACCCTGAAGGCCTTAGGATTCCAGGGCCCTTGTTCCTGTAATCATGTGTTTTGTAATTTATGACTATGAGCTCCACCCACGGCAATCATGTGGCCGGGCGGGGTTACCACCTTCCAAGAGTTCCTGGACCACAAACCTGTAGAGTCCAGGAAGATGAAACCCTCCTCTCCCCTGGGCCAGTAAGATTATTTCTTAGCCCCCATTTCGGGGGTATGTGTGTGGGGGAGGTGTCTGTCCCAGGCTTTATGCAGAGGTTTGGGTTCCAACACTCCCCGTCTTGCAGGCCATGCCTCCATCCAAATCCAAGGGGGTGTTGGGTCCCTCATCCTCGGCTTTTCCTAAGGGACTAACAACCACCTCCAGGGCTGCTGCAATCTCAGGCCTCCATGATCAGTCTCTGTTCCCAGCACCTGGGAATCCCTTCTGGAGAAGCTGTTGCCCATTTAACTTTATCACTGGTAGGTGTCTGAAACAGGGGGGTTTCTAAAGTATGTCTGTCCCCCATCCTTCAGGAGCCACTCTAGTCCTTATAGCCAAGCCCAGGTGACTGTTACTGAACCCATACATGCAACAGGCTCATTCATTCTCATCAATAAACCTGATGGGGAGAAACCCCTCCCAGGAGTAACAAGGAGACACAGGGGTGATGTTCTTAACACCCAGAGCACAGCAGGAGGGCAGCCCCTCTAGAGTGTGGGGTGGGTCCTAGCAGTCTTCTCTGGTCTCAATGGGCCAAGTCATGCAATCCAGTTGCCTCAAAGCCACGCAGCTACTCACTGGTAAGAGCTGGGACTGTTGCTATGCAGTTAAATCATTAGCGGGATCTCCCACTAACACAGGCAGGGCTACTGATCCTCACTACATGCAGAAACAGCTCCCTGGGCAGATGGTGCTAACAAATACTCCTGAGTTCCAGCCACAGAGCCAGGTTTGGCCACCCAACGGAGCAGCAGCCATGTTCACATGAAATGAAAAGTGCTTCTTAATTAAGTGTGTGTGTGTGGGGGGAGGGGGGTGGAAATCAAGGCATCTGGAACACAGTTCAGATGCAACAGCACCTCATTAAAACTGAGTGGGCCTGCCTTTCCCACAAGCAGGACTCAGCACCGGTTATTTCTAAAAAGCCTGAGTGTGGTTATAATGTGTAACAAGAGCTGGAAATCAATTTGGACTATATGAGGAGCCCATCCTGCCCAGATCTTGAAGGTCTGAGATGAACTGAGGTGAACCTGTTAAGATCGCCAGCTCCCTGGTTTCACCCCAAGATTGACTGAGCAGGCCTGGAATGAGGCCACGAGCCTGCATCTATCAAATACCTGAGACAACTCAGACTCCATGGCCTGATCACACCAGCTCTGATGTAGGTCCTCCAAGGGGAGCGTGGAGGTAGGTTCTAGAAAGAGTGCGGGTAGTGCTGGCATAGGTGGATGGCAGGAGGGGGTGTGACTGTGGCGTCCCCCAGGGAGGCTGTTCTGATAGCTAATGATCCCCAGGCCCTGAATATCCCTCATCATATCACCAACCTGACATTACATGTCAATGACACCCACTGAGTGCTTTGGGGTGCAAAGGCTGTGCTCCCTGCTACGTTCCTCCAGGGCGCAGAACATGCCTTCACCCAAGACATTCTCCACCCCAAAATATCAGCTCAAATTAATTTCCTCACTCAGCAGCCACTCAGTGAGGGCTAAACCTTGGAGATGGACAAAGCCTGGGCCCTGAGTGAGCACCTCCTCCACGGGGGAACCTGGCAGGAATCCTGATGCGAACAGGCAGGAAGGTGGCCTCGGTAAAGCCGGTCCCCAGTCCCACGCCCAGGAAAACAATCCCATCTCTCCACGCCTCCCCCCTCAACACTCCCATCCACTGAGAACAGTTTTTTTAAGAGACTTCCATCCAAATGCATCAGACTAAAACCGGTTCCCCTTTAAACTGATGGGAAATGGAAATCCTAGTTGGAGGAAGTGAATTCTTACAGACACAGCTAATGGGAGGCAGAATTCTAAAACCTGCCTCCGGCCTCCTCCCATGCCCGGAAACGTGTGGCAAAGCGTTTATTTATTTTTGTGTTGCAAGAGTGTCAGGACCACAGAATCTGGATTAACTGCAGTTAACAATAACTTGAAAGGTAGAAAAGGTCCCATATTACAGGAATTTTTAAGTGAACAATTTGACCATTTATACACTGAAGGATGAAAACTGACAATGTATAGGCCAGTGGTCAACTGACATGCAACACATGTTAACAGATGGGGCCAAATAACTGATGCATATTAGTTTGTGAAACATGGACGGGAGGCTGGGAGGGGAAGAGAGAGAAACATAAGTTAGAGACACAATGATTGGTCGCCTCCTACATGCACCCCAACCAAGGCCGGGGATTCAGCCTGCAACCGAGGCCATGTGTCCTTGGCCAGAATCGAACCTGGGACCCTTCAGTCCACAGGTCGACACTCTAGCCACTGAACCAAACTGTCTAACCTATCAGGTGAGGCTGAGATTTAGTAAACACTAGAATTAACTGCACTGAACAATAGATAAAATTATGAACTGAAAGTTAAGACTGGGAAATTATTTCAATTTCAAAGTATCAACTACAGGTATAATGTAAAAGGATAGTTTAAAAAACATTTCCTAGAATCTCGTACCCTTTGGGACAGTATGGATGGACCTGGAGAAAATTGTGCTGAGTGAAATAAGCCAGGCAGAGAGGGACAAACATCACGTAATCTCACTTATACCTGGAATCTGAAGAACTTAATAGACTGATGAACAGAATAGATCCAATGACATGGAAGCATGGATCAGACTGACGAATGAATGTCAGAGGGATGGAGGAGGGCCGGTGGTTGAAGGGGGAGAGATTAACCAAAGAATTTATATGCATATATGCACAACCCAAGGACAAGGACAATGGTGGGGAGAGGGACTGGGCAGGGGGGGTGGGATGGGTCATTGAGGAGAAAAAGGGACATCTGTAATATATTTTTTTTAAAGTAAAATTTAAAAATTAAAAAAAAAATTTCCTATTAAGCCCATAGCACCTATTTATATGCAAATTAAACACACCCAGGTTGCCAGATGCAGCCAGCAGACCACACTTTGGTGCCTAGTGTTTAAGTTAGAGGGTCCTTCCCGTTCATCTCATGACACTAGGCCCAGGCTACAGAACACAAAACACAACCCACCTCCTACGTGGTGGCAACAGGATTAATACTCAGGTATACACAGGACTGAACTTAAAGATGAAAAGGCACTTCAGCTCACAGATAACATGCTTACATTACAGTTTAACTTGGCCACCTGGTAAATTTTGAGCTGGCCCCCATTAATGGTCAACAGAATACTGTGCATTTGGTGTACAAACTACTCAGCTTAGGCTAAATAGGGCCTTTATACAGACAATATAAGCTATGTTTATCTGCGTATAAAGTGCCAATTTCACATACGAGCAAACTAGCACACCTTGGATTCATTTAGAAGTCAGCATCCAGGGTAAAAGAATTCTCTGTTGGGCTTGACATCACTCCCATCCTCTGGTACTCTCCTACTCTCTTCTCAAAGAAGTTCGTTTTCCCTTCCAGCGAAATATTCTCCATGAAGTCAAATGGGTTTTCCACGTGGAAAACCTGAAATGTTCACAGCAAAACATAAATGCGGAGCACCGGTCTCACAAGAACTAGGGGGCTCTGAACAACACCTCACCTTGCTGAAACCCAGCTCCAGCATGAGTCTGTCGGCCACGAACTCAATGTACCGCTTCATCAAAGTACAATTCATCCCGATGAGGTTCACCGGCAAGGCCTCCGTGAGGAACTCCTAGGGACCAAGGCACAGCTTCTCAGTAACACGGAGGCACAAACACATCTCGGGGCGGCACGCGACCTTACAGCCACCCACCTGTTCAATCTTAACAGCATTGGTAATTATTTCTTTCACTCTCTTCTCAGAAGGTTTGTGCAGTAGGTGTTTGAACATCAGGCAGGCAAAGTCACAGTGCAGACCCTAGGACAGAAGGTCCAATGTCACCGTAAAACCAGGAGATGGCCATCATTAACCCGCGCTCAGTAACGGCTTTATCTTTCTCTGCGTTCTCTTTGTACATCCTGCTTGGCCACCCTAAGAGCACTTAACACTGTTGAAAGGAAGGCGAGGGTAACGCAGTCGACTCTGCTCACGTCACTGGAACAGGCTCAGCCCACTCAAGGCTCTCAATGCTGCCACCTAGGCGCTGCCAGCAGGCCTAGCCTGGTCCTCGCCACTCGTCACGTGGCTAAGGGTGGCGGATTACTTCCGCTCAAAGCATCCTTCCTGTCTGCATGCCGCCCTGCCCTCTTCTTTCGACATTACTAATCGCAGGAGAGGCAAAGCTCTGACTAGGCTGCTTTTTAGATTTACAATCTAATGTGCAGGAAACTGGTAATGCAATTTCAAGTGAATCAACTCTGCAAGTCTCAACACATTAAATCCCAAGTAATACTGACGTGGCCTAAACTAGAATACCTAGGCCCCTCCCCTCCCCTCCGCAGCTTAATCCAAGCACTCAAGAGATGCACACCGGACCAGAATGGGTTCTCATTTCACCGAGATGCTCATCAACTAACTTTGAATTGCAGGAGGAACATACAGAATACCAGCAAAGAACCACATCCCTTTAAAAATCCCACCATCCATAGAGAGACACCGATTATAAATGTACTGTGATAATATATTGAGAATGAGTAAAATAATTTCAGAATATTACTTGAAGTATTTCACCCCCTGCCAATATGTACGTGGTTGAATTTCACATGTGAAATGTGGATATAAGGAAACCTGGTATCTTGGGGTCCCCTTCAGTGAACATGCCTCTAAGAGTTGGGGTTGGGGTGCAGACTAGCCTATTACCCTGAACCACACTCACCTCATCTCTGCTAATGAGTTCGTTGGAAAACGTGAGGCCAGGCATCAGTCCCCGCTTCTTGAGCCAGAAAATTGATGCAAAAGAACCAGAAAAGAAGATGCCTTCCACCGCAGCAAAAGCTACAACACGCTCTCCTATTTGAGAGTTAACACCAAAATAGTTCCAGTGAGTCAAGGTTCACGTTCAGAGGAAGGGCCAACAAACCAGTAACGGAACTTAGAAAATGAAGGGCAGGGGCAAGGATGGCCACAGGCACCCTTACCATAGGTGGCCTCTTTGTCCCCAATCCAGCGCAAGGCCCAGTCTGCCTTCTTCTTGACACAAGGCATCGTCTCGATGGCGTTGAAGAGAAACTCCCTGCAGGCACACGGAACGTCGGCATCCCAGCCAAGACCTTGTGCCACAAGTTTCCAGACCAGAGCACCCGGACGCAAGGCCGAAGGGCTCAGATGGGCATGTTTTTACTGATTTGTCTTTTCCTTCACTGTTCTTTTAAAATCTCAACATTATTTGGTTTATGTTAATATAAACTTAGGGATTCGTTAGTTTGTATTGGCCTCCAAGACCTACTAATGCTGTAAGTCTTAGTCCATTACACCAAGAGCGTTTACCGGCTTAACTCCTACTTAGAACATGAACCCCCTTGTCCAGCAGGCCCAGGCTGTGCCCACCACCCACAGCCCCATCAGTCACTGAGCCATCTCTGCTTTTAGAAAGAGACCACATTCACATAACTTTTATTACAGTATAGTTACGGCAGTTGTTTATTATTAGTTATTGTCGTCACTCTCCCTGTGCCTAATTTATAGGTTATATTTTATGATAGGTATGTAATGTATAGGAGAAAACATAGTACATATAAGGTTGGGTGCTATCCAGGGTTTCAGGCATCCACGGCGTCTTGAAATGTATCCCCTCTGGATGGGGGTGGGGGCATACGGGGCTACTGTACCATGTAATTCCTCTCCCTTGTACTTCCAGGTCACATTTCTGTATTGGATTACTAGGCTCTTTAAAAAAATAAGCTGCGTACTATTTGCACCATCCACTCCCTCCGCTCCACCCCCACACTGTAGATAAGATTTGCTAGAGTAAAACCTGTCACACCTAGATTTTACTTATCACGTGGAGCCTAAAGGCGGCATTAGATAAGAGGATCAGCATACTCCCACCTCTAAAAATGGAGTAGCTTCATAACTGCGTTTAAGCCATCGGCTAATAAAGTGAATCTGGCTTCCTCTGGAAGAAGGCCGGACCGGGGATTTTCTTAGACTTGGTCATTCAGGAGTCACTTTCCCATCCGCAGAAACGTGAAATGAATCATGTGTGGGTCCTCAGCATGTTGGCGTACCACCCAAATACTCACCTTTCTTTGGAATCTTTAATGTAGGTGTCAATGAGGAGACTGTACATTTCAGAATGTATGTTTTCCATGGCAATTTGGAAGCCGTAGAAGCAGCGGGCCTCGGTGATCTGAACCTCCTGGCTAAACCGCTCCACCTGGTGGCCAACACGCCCAAACGTTCAGGTCCGGGAAAAGCCACCAGCCCTTTTTTGTGCCATTTTAAGATGTGTTTATACAATTCATTATTCTGTGACAAAGCTGGACATTTACGTCATATGTGCAATTTACAGATCAGGAAAGAGATAACCTGTTTTTCTGTGAACACTTGGCTAGAACCCGTTACTACTCGACATCAAAGGCTGTGTCAGGGGAAGAAAACACCCCGAGGAAGAAACAACTGTGGAGTATGTTATAAATCGGGACATGCCACGTAAACTACTGGCTTCTAGACAGACGCCTATGCATTTGGGACCAGAAAATTTAGAAGACCAGGAAAAAAAGAACTGGTACTCCTTGAAGTGAGTCAGAGAGCGGGTTTCGGGGGCCAGCTCACCAAGTTCTCATTCACTATGCCGTCGCTGGCTGCAAAGAAAGCCAGGACGTGGGAAATGAAGTGCCTCTCCTCGGGCTTCAGGGTGTCCCAGTGCTGCAGGTCCTTGGAAAGGTCCACCTGCAGTTTGGAAGTGCCAGGTGGGGGTCAGACACGCAGGGCTTCACGCACCCCAGGGATTCTCCAACTTTCTGCCCCGCTCGGGCCATGCACCCCTCACAAGGGCTCCCCTTCACCCCTTGGGCGCGAGGCCTGACCTCCCCCGAAGCGCCCGGCGCCCCCGGCCCCGGGTACCTCCTCGGCCGTCCAGAAGGACGCCTCGGCCTTCTTATACATCTGCCAGATGTCGTGGTACTCGATGGGAAAGATGACAAAGCGGCGCGGGTTTTCTCTCAGCAGCGGCTCGTCCTGCACGCCCGCGGCGGGCACCGGGGTTTTCTGCGCGAGGAGGTGGCGAGGGCGCACGTCCAAGTGCCCGGCGAGCCGTATGAGACCGCCACCCTCCCCGCCCCGGGCCGGCAGCCCCATGCGGTTCGCCGTCTCGGTGCCATCGGTCCCTACCCACCTCCCCACGGTGGGCACGGGACCCAGGGGAAGCAAGCAGGAGCTCTGCGCCCCCCTGCACCCGGAAACCCCAGCCCGCTTGGCGGGAAAGCGCGCGGGGGGAGGAGCCAGGCTGGCGGACAAAGCGCAGCCGGAG